TCAATGAGGCCAAAATTAACGGGAAAGTGATGCTCTCCCTTGACGTTGTCTCGCTTTTTACTAACGTCCAGCTGATGGAAACCATCGACTACATTTGCGAGCACATAAAGAAGTGGGAAATTAAGATTTTCATACCGGTGCTTGAGTTTAAAAATTTATTGCTGCGGTGCACATGGAATGTGTAATTTCTATGTAATGGTAAATGTTATCGGCAAATGGACGGTGTAGTCATGGAAACCCCCCTCGGTCCGTTGTTCGCAGATATATTCATGATCAAAGTGGAGTGAACAAAATTGCAAGCGGAGATAAAATCTTTTGATTAGTACCACCGTTATATGGATGATATATTTGTAGTGGCGGATCAATGCATAAATCTGGATAAGGTTATCGATCGGTTTAACCGGGCTCACTTAGCACTGCAATTTACCTACGAGGCAGAAACCTGCAATCGGCTTCCGTATCTAGATGTCTTGTTAACTAGGAAGCAAGACGGCTCCATCTAGTAGAAAGTCTACAGAAAGGATACGTGGATTGGTCATTATACGAATTTTCAGTTTCGTCCCGCTGAGATATAAGCGAAGCTTAATCCGCTGCCTTACCACAAGAGCACGTAGAATTTGCTCAGAGGTCACCCTGGATGAGAAACTAGCCTTTATAAATTATACCTGCGCGAGAATGGCTACCCTGATGGATTTGTTGCAAGGGATTTCAAAGAAAAGCCCAAGCCGGTACCAATTTTAACCGCTGCGAAGAAAGGGTTATTCTTAAGATTACCTTTTAAAGAGGATGTCGCTGCCCAGCGCCTAACCAAAAGTCTTTCAGCGGGAGTCAAGTCGACATTCCCAGCATCTGAACGGCTGTGTAATTAATACTATTTTCTTCGGGACACAGCCGTTCAAAAGAGATCAAGTTGACCGAAGATGCCGGCATCGCCTCCGCCAGTCAATTAAGAAGTGTTACCATGCGGCTGAGCTAGTGGTATTGCATCAAGTCAGAACGTTGCTCTGTAAATCCAACTTTGAGAGACCGGACTCTCAAGTTATCGCCACATGCATTTACCTCTTTTATTGTACTTGTCGTAGCAAGTACATAGGCCGAACTAAGAGAAGGCTGTCAGCAAGGATTGCAGAACATGTTCCGCGAAACATGATCGCTAAGGATCCGAAGCTACCGACTAGCTCTGTTGGTCGCCACATACATGACTGTCCTGAATGCCAAAACCCACATGGTAATTTCACGGTAGTTAGTAAACACACTAATCCCCGCTTACTACAGTTTGCGCAGGCGGTAGCAATTCGGCGGCTGAAGCTAACTCTGTGCAAGCGAACGGATTTTGTGACCACGCTAGCCCTTCCCTAGTGAGGCTAGCGATTGCGTTTTCCTCGGAACTGGTCACGTGACCACTTTGAATATTTTACTGTTAACATCGCACTGTTTTCCACTAACTGTTAGTAAACAGGTGTTGAGAATATGCGAAATTGCTGAATGCAGTAAATTCTGTTAAAATGTTCTTTCTTCTTGCTTTATTGGAGTTCATTCTGCTTCACACCAGTGGGAACAGCCTGTCGAAGGTCAAATAGTTCCGAGGGTGTTGCCAAGATCCTACTTTGAACTGTGAAATGCACAAGAGCACACTTGGATAAACCCACAAAAACATGATCTGTTGTAAGCGCAATCGGTGCTGGTTAACTTCCCAAGGACGAGAAAGTGAGATTCGCACGAAACTCCCCGTTGATATCTTGCTGGTTTAGCAAGGTATTCTAGTTTGCCAGTGCTCAGCGGAGCTAGTTCAACTGTAAGTGACCAACCCAAGCATATGCAAACTAGCTCAAGTACCACCGTATGATCAGGTTTGATGCAAGTTGCCCAATAGGCTACGCAATCGTGAGTGCCGCCGCGCCATCAGTGATTTATGGCGATGTGGTCAAGCTACGATAAATGGCAGCAGCATGACTAAGAATGTCAGGCAGCGCAGTGCAGTGGCATCTAGGATGACGAAAATTCGTCATGGAGACGTAAAGTACGTGGTCGGCACACAGACTGCGCGGTGTTCTGCCATTTCCCGAGCAATGGACAAACACGTCTGTTTTAGGTGCCCTTAAGTTCAGATTACAGAGCATCTGATAGAATTGGCCTTTGGTAGTATCCTGACTGCAGTCAGTGGGAGCGGAGGAGATTACAAATACAGACCGTTTGGTTTCCCGACGCCTGCCAACCTTACATGAGCCACGGAGTATCACAGTGCAGATGGTGCTGTTGTTTCGAATCCATTCAAGAAAGTCGGCTTCGTCCCTTAAACTATGGACGATCCCAATATTAGCTTACCCATATGTGGCAAACTCACAGTCTCCAGAAAGCCGAAGGTGAAAACGGTTGTATGGTGAATTGGTGACGATAATTGAAAAACTGTGCTTGATTCCTAACATCGTATTTCAGGCCCGTAGCGAACATCTATTTTAATTTCTGTTTATCGTTCAATCTGTCTCAAATGCGCATATTGAACGCTGTCAATTTGAACTGTGTATTAGGTTCGGAAGCAAAAGACGGGGCAGTTTGAAACTGGCTAATCGCTGTTATCACAAGATGGCAAGACGACACTCTCATGGAAGCTTTCAATGCTGATCACCGTCGAAGAACTAAACAAAATCGGGGTTGAATGATATAGTGCGTGAGTAGGAAATTTGGAAAGTAATCTTAGTCATAGAACAGTAAGTCCTCGGTGGGCCGGCAGTGTGGCTCAAGTCCATGGTTCATATATAGAGGAGATAATACTAAGTTGCATTGATCGCGGTAGTGGATTGAGTTAGGATGCTGATCCTTTTGGCAAGAAGCATGGCCAACAAGGCGACAAGAAGATAAGATATGGGACTCTCACCCGTTGGGAGGTGGTGACGGAACAATCAATTCATCATCAAGATACACGTTAGCTGCAGGTGGTAAACACCTCAGTTATGGTGTCGCAATATATCGATTCATACCACATGCGGATGGCTGTGAGTAAAATCAAGGGCTTAACACTCCCAATAGACAGGACTTTATTTAGTGGCGAGTTATAGTACTTTCACGTGGCGAGGTGGCTTTTTACAGGGAGAAAACTTGGCAAGAGTAAATGGCCAAGCCATCCGAGAAGCACCGCTGAATCGCCCATGACCGCTTATTCATCTCAATGCGAAGCACAAGAGATTTATTCGTATTCACCACCAATAAGACATCAAGCTACTCGCAACACAGGGACGCCACCGGTAGCCTACCGGTGGGTTATGGTTGAACCCACGATCTCACGCTGCGCTAAACTCGAATGAGGAGCTGCGATAAAACCCAATGGCTCAAGTGATGCAATCGATTCGTAAGATATTGGTCTCACTGTATACAAATAGTTAATGAAAAGTGAAGGAAGCACACAACCCAACGATTGAACAATATGCATGGTGTGAAGCTTGAAGAACAGAGATGCGGCACTTCATCGAAGCACGCTAGTGAGTTGTACACTAAAGCACTACACTCACAAAACCGATTCATCGATACAGAAGCAGCCATGGCCTTCCCACAAAAGTCCGTAGGTGTGCAGACAACTTTCAAGAAGTTGGAAGGCTTGCATGAAATTCACTTGTGAATGAGCGTCAAGCAGCTGAAAAAGGTATTTCGCTACAAAATTGAAACATCAGATCGTGACGTGAGTTACGTGCACACTAGCAGTTGGTTGAACAACAAGATAGGTATCAAAATAGGGGACTAATGGGAAAAATATTGTCGAGGGAGGCTCGCATGACTATGGAAACATTCTGGGTAGAGCGGATAAGTGCGGAAGTTGAGAGAAAAAGGCAAAAGTGGTTCTGAATGAAGAACAACCTTCTCAAGATAACGATTGGGTCAGAAAAAACTTTGCCGTGCAGGGGAAAGTTGTCGCAAAACCAGTATGAGCTTATATATGTCAGATATGAATATATATGCGAAAAAATAACACACTCCAGGAATCTGCAGCTCGTCCTTGAACAACAGTGCGAAGCGTTAAAATGACAAATTCCGTGTACACGGAAAGCAGTTTGGCTGAAAAAGATGGTAACGTTATTGATTCGAGAAGTCATGAAAGAGAATAGGAAAATTAATCAGAAGTGTCGCATCGATGACAAACGGATTCGGCGGTAATCACCAGTATGGTTCGTAAGCAGGTTTAGTGTCCATGAATAGTCTACGAAGAGCATGTGGCAAGGATAATCAGGCGTGACATGATCACCTAGTCTAAGGTGCAACAAAATCGGATGAACAGTAATGATGATCTCATGGTCCTAGAACGTGACGTGAATCAGGTTAGGGGAGAAGACAGAAAACCGTATGAAGGGAAGAGGTGAGCAAGGAAATATTACTGTTGGAAGTGCTGGGAGGTTGAACATGTATGGGTACTTATAATGAAAGCAAGCCACTACAACAGATTCGTGTTGCAGACGTGAAAGCGAACAGTAAGTAGAAAGAAACAGTCCGTGAGGGGAAGTTGACCCAAATCAGTGAACACACGGCGCTAGTGAAACAATGCCATCCTTACGGTAGGGGGGATTACCAACAAATTAAGTGCATTGAAATTGGGTCAGACCTCATGAGCCGTTGCAACAAGCTAAACCAAGGTACCGTGGCGTAGGCGTAAAGTTTCGGAGGGCAGTTCCAAAGTTCCGGACTTCAGACGCAGCCTCGCTATCTCTAATGAACAGTACAGATAAGCACCAATCGGTCGCCGACTGTAATGTTGCAACGAGGCAACATTTAAGTTATTTGCCTCCGGAATCTTTTCTTAAAATAGAATAAACATGTTCAACAATATCTTAAATCGGAAACCAACGAGAAGCCAATTTAGAAAATAGGAAACTAACCGTATTTTGCGGCAGTAAAGTAAGCCAAATTGCACGGAGTCAGGAGAAGATAACGGTCGGAGAAACGTTTATACAAATGGCAACGCAGAGCAATTTTAGTGAGCAGAACAAAAAGAGGGGAATACAAATGGCAGTCAGTTACATACCCGTAAACCGCTTTTCGGAGGTGGCCAAAGTTTTGCACACATCCAGTAGGAACTTTTCACAGGTGGACAATTCGTTTGGATCTGAGAAGTGGTCACGTAAATCCTGATTGATATCATGTGTCTGTCGCATCACGGAGCTCGCGGCGATGAGCGCGCCATGAACTAAAGTCAACCCGGTGTACGTGTGACGACTTAAATGGGAATTCCTGTTGGATACGATCCACCGGAGAAGTATTTGCACAACTGCTTCCGATTTCCACGAGAATTGCAGGGAGAAAACTGCCAAGTCTGGAAAAAATTGCAGCAGTAATGCGAAGGAAAGAAATGTTTCTCTGTGGTATCTGGTGAGAAGACTGTCGTTAGAAAGTGTAAAGTAAGCGCATCTGAAAGGTAAACGGATTTTTGGATAAGAAGACTCGAATCGGGTGAGCATGTGAGAATTTGAACAATCGTCATGTGGACTATTATGACTGCCAAAAAATTACAAAGGATTTGAACCACCCAGACGACCAGGAAATTTCGCTTAAGTCTAGGTGAAATAGAACTAAAGAATAAGGGGATAACTGAAGAAGTAAAACATCCCAGAATGACTGTTTTTAAGTAAGCAAGGGGTCAAACGGACATAGCAAAATTTAGAGCATTAGTACTTGGCAAGTATTACGTGCATACACGTGAACACGTGCCAAGTAGGGGTACAGTCGTAACGAGTAGTGTTTTGAAAATCATGAGGTCCAAATTCAATCCCAAAACAACTGCAAGAATAAGGCATGTGAGTTAAAAGCAAAATGTACCTTTTATCATGTTATCCCAAGGATTGTCTCCGAATGAAGGTACTCAAAAGGCACGTTTTCAGCGTTCTGGACGCAGTGGTTGTAAAATATCAAGCTCCATCCCAGTAGCCTCCGTTTGGCCAACGTCATGTGTCGGCTACCCAATGCATACACAGAATGGCGTTGACGAACGATTTGGAAGACTAAGGCAGAATATGTCAGCCAGCACCAGGCCAAGCTGACTTCCCATAGCCACACGGGCTACCTGTCGATAAACATGTCCATTAAATAATGTGCACTTCTTATTTAATAGACAAGTTTATCGACAGGTAGATGGTGTGGCTATGGGAAGTCCGCTTGGCCTGGTACTGGCTGACATATTTTTGGCGATTGTCCAATCGAGAAGTGAATCCTACCTAAGTCAGAATAATCAACCACGGGTCAACACATGCGTTCGGAAGAAGGATGACAAGACCAGACCACAAGATTGTATGAAAGGGAAGCATGGTTGCATACACTACTGGATAGTGTCGGGTAGGGAGAAAACAGAATCATGCGGCCACGTAACGAAATTGATATATTGAGAGGAAGGGTTGACCTCGTGCCAATTAGTCAGGTGTACAAGAAAAATGTACTCGGGGAACGAAGATGGGCACAACTGAAACTTACAAAATTGGCCATAGAACAGGTGCTATTGGGGTCAAAGTTTCCTCGACCAAACGGGCTATGAGCTGGGAAACATGTATCGTCTGATCCTCGATTGAATGTTCGGAAAGTATCCCACTGCGATTCGTCGCGTAATAAAGCAAAATCCACCTCAAGTAGGCGGATAAAAGCAGCAATGTCGGCTCTGGTAACTGCTCTTCCGGCTTGACAGTAGGCGAGAATGTGGCATCGGACATGAGCTGGTAAACAAACAAGTAGCAGTGGCCACCCAAGAGAACAAACAATGCGGCGATGTGTGCAAATAATCCCAGATCTGACTGACAGCTAACTTCAGAACTTAACTGTCAGTTCGCTAATAACTTTGGGAGGAAAAAAGTGAAGTTTTCAACGATAGTTAGTTGTACCAAAAAAGCGTGCGCACACATGCAGATTCGGGGAAGCTTTAATGTATCGGAAAGCGAAAGTCGGCCGATATTGACGTCGGCGTAAATGTCTATGTTAAACAGTCTTCCAAATAGGGATTAACACCATGAGACCCTGGTTAAGAGTTACACAAGCGCACCAGCTGGAAACTGCAGTGTTATTCCATTAAGAGAGGACTGGGCATTGTCTAGTCCCTGAAAACTGTTCACTGAGATTAATTCAGGGAAAGGTTTATTGGTTCAATGGAGCAGGAGATCCTTTGTCAACTTCGTGAGTTCGCCATCACTGAGTAGGTGACCCCAGTCATTTCGAAAGGGAGTTCCACAGAGGACAGCTACAGCTGCATTGGAAGCAGCAAGATCGCGGAACACTCAGCAGGTGGGAATCTAGCAGTCGTTTAAAGCTGTCTTCTGTTTTCGCACTGAGAACGGGCCCCGGCAAGCAGTTTTAGTTAGTCACTACGCAAATGGGTTGCACCCGGATTCTCATCGGTGTTAATTACTACATAACAGTGATTCAGTATATAAAGTTATCTCATTAACACAAATATATAAAAGCCTTTGAGTTGATCACACAATCAAATGCGATGACAAGTGAATAGGATCGGGCGGGTAATATTGAACGACGATGGTCAACACGTCCGTTCAAAGTAAGCAGGCAGAAAATAAAGGAATTCAGAGTAAACGGCTACTCATTGGTCGCTCCGGAAAAAACCGTTTATCCCCTTATATTAGCATAGCTATGTTTAACGAATACAGAGCGATGGATTTACATGTTCCGCCTTATTATCGGCAGAAGAATTGCAAGATGGAAGTCGACCGACCAATATGTTTGCATGAAAGGATCCCTCATCCAAAGTCCATATAATTAGCAAACCAAGTGGGAGTTTTCGCACCTTGGCTTTCTGATGCTTGTGTAGGCTACGTGAGATGGTAGAAAGAAGCAAATCTCCCGCTGAATACGTCTTTGAACGCGACAGACGTAGGAGCAAAAACGCAGTGAAAAGCTTGAGAGTACATCCAGGCATTTTTGTTCTTCGGTTAGCGTGAAATTGTAACGTATCAGATTGCGATTAAGACTGCGCTTTAACAGGTGGCAGTACACATGGCGGGAAAAGTATAGAAATCGATAACACACAATACGTTACCACAGAAACGTCGATATCGTCTACCGAAAACTCCTGGCATTCTCAGTCTTTTCGCAACGCAAATAATGTAAAGCTTTAATATTTCTGGTCTCCTGACATTGCCGGACCTGCAAAACGGTGAGATCTCGTTTCCATCGCGGCTACCAACCTCGAGTTGTATATTTCAGATAATGGAGTATACATGTACGAATAGATTGCGAAAAGACACAAATCGAAGTGTACGAGTGCTCTCCACAAGACACCTAGGGGCCAAATTCCCTTTCTTGATGTGGTTTCGGACTGCTTCACGGAAATATTTCTGTAAATGCTAGTAGCCAAATTTATAAGGGTGAAGCGCTTTATCCCGTAAATGTAGCGCCATAAAGTTAATAAAGTTGAAATGCAGAAGATTCTTGACTGATAAACCATAAACCTTATCGAGATCGGCCAAAGCCACTAAATGACCCGACGAATTATCGTTCATAATAGTTTGATGCCATCGGCACGAGATAACCAATTCTAAGCAATGAGGTACGCTTGACCCTAAATAAGAATAGAGAACAGACTTGACCTCAATGCCGAATCTTGTGAGACACCGCATTCTAGTTAGATAATATGCGACACAAATATGTGTACGTCTATCTATAAACACCTGTGAAGGAGAGTATCATCAATGCCGTAGTCCCGGAGCATGGGGAGGAAAATGCGATAGTTCAACCGATCGAGTGCTAAAGAGATGACAAAGTAAAGCACATTAACTCAAACATCACCTATTACTGCTTTGGTCCAACTAAACTACTTTAGTAATATATATTTGGGGCATGATTGCTATTTAACACAGCCGGGCTACGCTTGGGAGAATTAGCGAAATTCATCCGCTTGGAAGATTAGCGCATCGGAAACGAGAGTTCACATGATAGTTAAAGGCAGTGAAAGAGGAGACATCGGAAGGTAATCTACTGGAGCGGAAGGGCAGCTTTCATTGGGAGTTTGAGATGCTATCCCATGTTCCGACACGATTGTGGCATATTTCGTATCAAGGCAGTACCAGAATCACTCATGCAAAGATTCAAGGAAGACTTCAGATGCAACTGTAAGCGCCATGAGTGAATGGATGCAGCTCCGGGAGAGCTGTAAGTACGAGTAGTCAGTAGTTCCCTCGGCTGCTTCTGCTGCAGAAGAGACACCAGCGAGCCGCGGTAGCGGCAATATACATAACGATGGGTCATGAGACAAATGAATGCCTTTAAATGTGGGAGCTTACTGCCGATACAGATTTCTATTCGTGGTGGTTCGCGTTGGTTCATCTCTATTGAAAGATTAGGAAATTCGCGTCTTAATTCACAAGAGTATTTCGTGCATTATCATCATCATCATACACGTTAGCCAGAGGTAAGGAACACCTCAGCTACTGTGCCGCAATACGTAACAAAAAGGAGAGAATAAAAGCAACTGGTGCAAGCCGGCTGAGCCACCGATAACGGATGGGCATCGTTCTGGTAAGCTACCAGTCGGCTACGGTGCCTCAAAAAATTACTATGCAAAATTATATAAGGCTACATAAGGAGATCGTGGTTGGAGGGGGAGGCCGTGGGATGGGGTGGGACAAAGAAACTCACATCACGAACGGCACTGAGGTCGGCTCTTTGCCATGTCAGCAAGTGTGTCCAACCAAACGTGTTCATCGTCTTTCGGACCCCAACCAGGGAGCCGAGACGCTCCAACCAAGGCCAGCTCAGAAGTGAGGGCCTTCATCCCACTCGAAAAGATCATCGCTTGGCCACCCCTCCTCTTCTTCCATCCACACCCCTGGCGCGCAAACAACGCACGTCGCGGGAGTCGGTGGGCTGGCATGCGTAACACGTGGCCGAGCCATCGGAGCCTGGTGCGTGAAATAACGGTGCTGAGCGGTTCATTTCCTTTTCCTGTGCCGTAAACAAGGCGTCGAACACGCTCGTTGCTCACGCGGTGTTCCCACCAGATGTGAGCTAAATTGCGAAGGCACCGGTGGTCGAACGTAACTAGCCTCTTCAGGTCCGTTGCTTTAAGCGGCCAGGTTTCACAACCGTACAGTAGGGTCGAACGTACCGCTGCATTGTACACTCTACCCTTCAGGGCAAGAGTGATGTCGCGCCGCCGCCATAAGTGGCGAAGGTTAGCAAAAGCGCCTTGAGCTTTTACTATACGGTTCGTGCTCTCATCTTCAATCCCACGGGTGCTGATACAACTTCCCAGGTAGTTGAATTTTTGAACGACTTCTAGCTGATCCCCACCAAAGGTCAGCGTAGGAGGCGGTCCAGACCAAGCCCGGAGAAACGCTTTGCACTTCGGGGGTGCAAAGCAAAGCCCGAAGTGACGGACAGCTAGTGCTAATCTGTCTAATGCCGCTTGGCAAGTCTGGAAGCTGTCACAGATTAGGGCAATATCATCAGCATACACCAAGACAAGAAGTCATTCTCCTGGAAGCAGATCCATACCTGCAAAGTGGCGTCCTTTGAACGCGATTTCCATGACTTCGTCAGCAGCGAGGTTAAAGAGGAAAGGTGACAGCAGTCATCCTTGTCTCACACCGCTGGAAATATTAAGGAGCGACGACAACTTGCCGTAAGCCCTCACTCTGCCCGAGCTACGCGCATATAATGCTCGGATAATATTCACATATTCTCAGGTACACCTTTTCTGAGTAGACAGTCCCAAAGTGCAAGTCTATCTACAGAATCGAATGCACCCTTGATATCGAGGAACACGACAACGGTGGGCGGAAAATATGTGTGACGGTGCTCTAACAACTGACGCAAGGTGTAGATGTGGTCAATGCAGCCACGACCTCGACGAAGCCCCGCTTGCTCTTCACGAATCTGGCTATCACTAGTGCCATGCAGTCTGTGAAGGTTGACAGAGGCAAGCAATTTGGAGGCGATGGAGATCAGACTGATTCCTCCATGGCTGCCGCATTCTGATCGTGAGCCTCCCTTGAAAATTGGGACTATGACGGAGCAGCTCCAGTCGGTTGGGACAGTCTCCTGCTCCCACAGTTTCACGAGCAATCCGAGTAAATTATCCACAAGAGCAAGTCCACTAAATTTGAAGGAGGATCCTCAGGTCCTGCGGCATTATTAAACTTCAACAGTCCGATCTCACGTTCGAATTCCGAGCGAGAGGGCGGATCCAAAAGGACGGCCCACGGAGCGGGGCGATCAGTGGCTGGCGAGAAATCTAACAATTCCGGCCGATTATATTGCCTTTCAATGTGCTCAGCCCAACGCTGCAAGCGTTTTGACCAATTGTGGATAGGCTGTCCACGCTCATCACAAATTGTTTCACTAACGCCAGGTATTCCGCTGCCCGATTCCCGTATCAGATGGGATAACATTGTGATTACCAAGGGCAGCGGCCATTTCCATCTCTGATGCATGATGAGACCACCAGGTTTCGCTGTCTCTCTTCAGGCCAGCACGGAGTTTTGCCCGGAGCTCTTTGCGTGTATCATTGTGTTCGCTTCCAGCAGGGATATGCCGGCGAGCAACTATAAGCTCCAGAGACTGTGAAGAGTCCCAATGTCCATGTTGGCGATAAGACATCCCACATGAGGATTTGCCTGCTGCTAGTAAGGTCTGGTGAATATGAGACCAGTGACCATCAGTTGCATCCAGTGAGCGTTTATCCAACTCGCATGACAGCGTACTT